AAGCAGCCAAACTCTGACTTCCAAAGGCAGACCTTGTGCTCTCAGCTTGTGTGCTGTGGTTTGGTGTGGAGGATGAGGTCTGGGATCCCCATTTTTGGAATACCAGGCCTTCATCCCAGACTGTGCCCTGCAGGCTCTGGTTCTGCAGACAGGGAAAGGTTTAAGCCCTGTTTAATGGAGGATACAGGAGTGGAGGATTACATGGGAACTCCAGCAGGAGATGGGTATGGTTCTGCCAAACTCGACTTTGCAGTTCTCCCGTGACAGAGAATGGGTTTGGAGAGAACCTGCTGCTAAAGTGGGTGCTCTTGCTGGAGGCTGGGCTGGAGGGAGTGCACATGCTAAGAGCCTTTTCCAAGGTGCCAAGTGACTTTGCAGGCCTTCCAGTCATCCTGGTAGGTGTGTAACCCCAAGCCACTCTCTCTAAATGAGGCTGTGATTCCTGGGTGGATGTTGTGGGAGCTGAAAAGTCTCCTGATTGCTTTGCAGGGCCGAGCTGCTTGCTGAATGAGGCTGCAACAGGTTCAAGGGAGGCTTTTCATTACCCTCACTCTGTTCACAGCAGGTAGTTCCTGATGGGCTTGTCCTGGGTTGGCCTTCGTGTCCTCTGGTACAGAGATTTGTCACCTTTTTCTTGCTTCTCAGTTTCCTTCCCTGCTTTGAGACCTCATGTTGGACAAGAGATACATGCTGGACATGTGATTCCCCCACCCCCTCTGTCCCTCCTGGCTGTCTGGAGGCAGGTTTACCCAGGGAAAATGTGGGTAAGCACTCTTGGCTGTGCCTGGAACGTGCAGAGCATCTTTGCTTGGAGAGAAGACAGCACTATTTCATAGCTTTGGCTGTAGCTGCATCTGAATTGTAACTAAATCCTCTTCCCAGCACAAGCAGCTGCTCCAGTGAAGTCACAGACTTGGAGCCAGCCCAGCAGATGAACTGCAGCTACCCAGGGTGTGGGTGGGAGTGAGACAGGAGCTGTGTGAGCTCCTTCATTTTCTGAGAGCCCAGCCATGGGACTGGGGGACAGAGAAAAGAGAGTCTGACCTGGGTAGTTCTTGTGCTGCCTTCCCTGGGGCAGAGTGGGAGTTTTTTCCAGGAGGAGGCAGAGTAGTGTGTTCAGCATCTCTTGTGTCATGCTCTCTTCCCAAGGGAACGAGTGTGTGCAGTGCAGGGATTCGCCCTGGAATTTGTACAGTCATGTGCATAAATACACACACATCCATCCGTGCAGTGGCTGAGATGGGCTGGCAGAGGTGAAAATGATGTGCTGATGGATCCTGCAGCTGTGCAGCTGAACAGAAGCCATCCTTCATTTTCGGTATGTAACTGCATGTGCCTTGCACTCCGAGCTCTGTGGTGCTCCTGGAGAGGTCATGTTTCCCAGCCTGAGGCCAGCCCCACACAGGTGATGGTCACCTTTGCTTCTGAGAGCTCTGATCGTGCCAGGGGAGCAAAACTGTCAACCAGCATCTTTACTGCAGAGTTTCTGTTGATCTTCGTGGACAATTGGAGCTCAGATCCGAGAGCGTTCAGATGAAGATGATGCTGTGGAGTTGCATTGGCTGTCCTTTGGAAGTCAGTCTGTGCAGGGTAAAGAGGCCAAGGCCAGTGTTTTTCCCTGCTGCAGAAATGCTCCATAGCACTGTGGCAGCTGGAGTCTGTCTTTGCAAACACAGTATAGAGCAATGAGGTGGCAGTAGACAGCGTGGGAAGGAGGAAAGCCTGCCCTAACTGATGAAAGTGTCTTACCCCATTGCAGGAGCTTTCTCTGCCTCCTATCTTTCCCCTGGCAAGATTATTTTTTACTCTGTTTCACAGCAACCAGGCTCTTCCCCCTGCCCCACTCCATGCTCTGCTTGCTCCGTCTGTGTGCTTGTCTGTTGATGTCAGTCACGCTTTTTGATTTGTAATGAGGAAACAGAACGTCTTTTCCTCTGCTGCATTTGCTTCCCCCAGTCCTCCGAACCCCTCAGTGCAGGAGGATGGGATTTAGCCACGGAACAACAGGCATGCCAGCAGTCTCTCAGGGCCCTGCAGAGGCAGCTGGAGAGAAGGGGCAGTGGGGAGCAGTGTCTTCAGGGATCACAGCAAGCAGCTATTCTGCTCCTTTGCTGCCCTGGTTGGTGACGTGGGGACAGCCCTGCTCTGTCAGATGAGTGCACTGTGCTTTGCCTCCATTCACTACCCAGCCCCTTGCTTTGGCACAGACCTGGAGGCACATTCAGGTGCTCACTGTCCTGCTTATTACACCTGAAACACCAGCCAGTCACTGCAGTGCTTTCTGTGGGATTGCTGCCAGAGTGCAGGAGCTGCCTTTCAAAGACCCAGAGGTGGTTTTGTCCCCCAGCACAAGCTGATTTTTGGAGGCACTGTGTGGTTTTGCATGGTCCATTTGAGAATAGAGCTGTCTGGGAGTTTTTTGATTAAGTGGATGGTGGAGCTGTATTGATTTCACTTTTACAGGAGCTCAGAGTTTGGTACAAGTGAAACCCTTTCTGTAGGAACACAGCTCAGGCAAAACCTACCTCAGGTAATATTTTTGCAGCTTTAAGACTTGAGGTCAAAGGGAAATCTGAACTGAAGAGCTGCCCCATGCCTTAGCCTGGGTCTCACAGCACTTTGGTGACAGCCCCAGCAGCAAAGCTGCTTTCCAGCCTTCTCATCTTTTGTGTTGGTTCCTGCTGCTTGTGGGTTTGCAGGGAAAGTGGAGATCTGGTCCCTGGCTCTTAGTGGTACCAGCCCGAGGCACTGTGCTGGCTGAGCAGCTCTGCTCTTGCTGATTTATTCGTGTGTCTGACTCTGCTGTCTGCACTCCCTGTTGCTGCAGGAGGGATTTGAAACCTTTCCTTGACAGACCTCAGCGTTAAGTAGTAAAAGCTCATTTTGGGAGACTGTACAGAGTCCAAGGGAAAGTGTGGGCTCAGACAAGGACTCTCCAGCATCTCTGTGTCATTCCGTATTCTTCCATTCCACAGAAGATTTTTTTTTTCCAAGGGAAGTCCTTTCTCTGAACCTTGGCCTGGTGTTTGTTGAGAATGCAGCTCCCCTTCGTGCTCCCTCACTCAGCCCTCAGCACAGAAGGAGACAGGGGCAAGAAGGCAGCTGAGCAAACTTCTCAGGAGGCATCACTCCAGGCAACACCCAAATTTCTTAAAGTGGATCAGTAATCAGCAAGTCCCAGGGCACTGGAAGCTGCAGTGACATGGATGAAGTGCACCCAGCCTTAGGGCTGGCTTAGTCCTGTGCCAAGGGCAGACTGGGGGCAAGAGGAACATCTGTGTGGCCTGAACTTTGCTGTCACAGTGCTCCCAAAATGCTGCTGCACCCGGTGATGTGAGCCCAGTGGCCTTGGAGCTGGAAGGAACCTGGGTGAAGGAACAGGGACAGCGTTCTTGGCGTGGTTCACATCAGGTGCTTCTCCCCACACCGTGCCAGGGCAAAGCCAGTGTGTGCACCAAGCAATCAGCCCCTCAGGCTCCAGGGGCACAGCTTACTGAGGCAGCTGTCTTGTTTCAGCCACCCTCAGCTACAGGGGCCTCATCAAACCCAGGGCTGTGAGAGGCCGTTCAGACCTAAGATCAGAGTCGACTGTTCCTAGCAGGAAGCCTGATGGGAGATGCTTCTGGAAGTATTTGTGCCTGAGGGAATCAGGCAGCAGCTCAGTTAGGCATGGATTGATTTTTTTGCAAAATTTTCCTTCTCTTTGCTCATTTCCAGCCAGTTTAAGGTCCACATCTATCTTGTTGATAGGATCATTTTAACAGCTAGTGGGCCATGGGAAAAGCCAGTCCCCTCTGGGTTCTTGTCCATTAGCCATGTTTGTAGGTACTGCTAATACACAATTAATTATTACTGCTACTACGTTCTCCTTCACTTTTATTAAATGGTGTTTTCTGTTTGCAGTCTGCTGAATGGTTTGTTTGCCTTCGTTTCTGTTCGTGTAATAACTCCTGCTTTCCTGCAGTTTCACTGCCTGGGGTAATGAATTTTTGGCTGCTCAAAAGGTGTCCATTTAATTACAGGATATCTCTGGATAAATTTCCTGCCTGTGCAGTGCAGTGGTCTGTTCCCTGCTGCAGAGCAGTTTTCCCACTCTCTGTCCATTTTTGCCAGGGCAGAGGTGGACCTGGGCCCAGCATTAATGTATCTGGCTTTTCACCCTCTATAAATTTAGGCCTATCTCCATGTGCACTGGAGTAGGAGTTTTAGGGGAAAATTTAAGTGCTGACTTGGAAGGAAGCAGCCTGCAAGCAGTGGAATTAATAAAGCTTTGTGTCCTATAGGCATTGGCTCTCCCAGTTGAATTCCCTGGACAGAGTGAAATCCCTGTGTGGATCCACAAATGTTTAGAAGAAATTTGAGTTATTTTTATTTTTTATTGTGCCTGTTTTACCTTATCATTCAGGTCATTCCAGGATGGGTAGGATAAAAAGCCATGCATGCATATGAACAAGGCTTGGAGCAGGCTTCAGTCACCACAAGCTTGCACTGAGTGTTTCTGTGCCGTTACACAGAACCATCTCCTGAGGCTCCTCACTATTCTAAAATCCTGTAATGTGCCCCATTATTTTGTTCCTAACACCCTCCTGCCCTGGCAACAGAAGGAACTGCTCCCGGTACCGCGCTGGCTGCGTTAGTGGGACTGTGGATCGGTTGGTTAGAGGGCAAAGAACATTGCCCAGCTGCCCTCACTGCCCGTGCAGACTCTGCCTGAGCCACCTCCTCCCACTGCCGCCCTCCCGCAGGGCAGCGATCCTACAGCTCCCTGCAAAGCCTGCAGCATTCCTGAGCCATCAGCCCCGTCCCTGCCTGCCTCTCCCTGTCACCGACTGAAGCCTCAACACAAGCCTGGTTTTTAGGGATTGCTGTTCCCAGAACTCAGCAGGCTGAAGGGGGTGGAAGGGAGATAAACATCAGAGTTCAACATCCAGACAAACACAGCAGAGCACACGCAGTAAATACATCCACCCCCAAATGCAAATACATCAGCAGAGGTTCCTGGCCCGGGGCTCAGAGCGGAGCAGGCTCGGACAGGAGAGCTGCACCATGAGGTGAGTGCAGGGCAGGGCCCTCCCCAGCTCCTCTGGCCACTTGGCTCTGTGCAGGCTCTGGAAGGCAGGAACATCCATCTCATCTTGTTTAGCTGCTACTCGAGGATGACTGCACTGATTCCTCCCAATTTCTTCCACTGTCAAATGAGAAGGGTGTTGGGCATGAAATACCCCATTTGCTATCGAGCCTGGCAGCTTAGATGTGTGGGTTTGGGGTATGATCTGAGTTAATGCTCCCTCTTCCTGTGTTAATCTCTGTTCCTTGACTCAGGCTGTTTGTCTTGCTGGCTGTGCTCTGCAGTGGAGTGATGAGCAGTATTGTGCCACAGAAAATGTATGGGAGGATCACGTCCCCAAATTTCCCAGATGTCTACCCAAACCACAAGGAGAGGATCTGGAATATTACTGTCCCCAAGGGATATTCTGTCCGTATCTACTTCACCCATTTCGACCTGGAGCTGTCCTACCTGTGTGAATATGATTATGTGAAGGTATGTGTAGGATGGGGTGACATGTAGCAGAGTAAGCTGTTAAAAACTGTGTTCGTGTGATCCTGGGCAGATGTAGGACCAATATAACTCTTGTAAGCACTTGATTTTAGTCTGGTTGTAAAGTTCAGGCTCAGCTGATTTCTAAATGGCATGTTTATTGAGGCCCACAGGACCAGGAAGCAGAACTGGTTGTGTTGGAACGTCCAAAACTTGAGTTGTTTGTGCTCAGAAAATTCTAATGCTCCCTTTCTGTGAAGCAAAAGGTTTAAAATTTTGTCCAAACCAACATCTGAGCTTCATGTTGCTGAAGTTACAGTGTGTGCTTCTGAATTAACAAGTAGTGCTTTACACAGGGTATAACGGGAGAGCAGAAAATGTAAGGGATGGTCTAAACAAGGTGCTGTCAGCTTGTGTGAACGGGCACTGGCTGTGGTGTCTGCTGGCTAATGGGAAGAACAACCTCAGGAAGAGCTTGTTTGTGTGGGCCTGATGCACATCCAAGAGGGAGCTGTGCACACAGGGAGGGTGCAAACCCAGTTTCCACCTGATGGAACCAAACCAGGCTGTTCCCACTTGGAAAGATCTCATTTCCATGGGTTTATATGGTGAGTTGATCCCGTTCCCCAAAACCACATTGCTCTTCATGTGCCTTTCCTTTGGGCAGGATGGAGCACTCCTCTCTGGTAGGTCTGTAGTGCACAGCCCCCTCTCTACCATGCCCAACATAAACCCTGCGTGTCAGAACGTTTCTCTTGTATTAAAGATGAATTAAGAACTAAAACTCTAATAGGTGAATCATAGAGCAAGTGAGTCACTCATTTAAAGACACCTTTTACTATACATTTGAATTTGTCAGCGTGTGAAACTTTTTCTTTTCACCTCAGTTGCCTCGGGCTTTACCAAGATCTGATTCTCACTGAGAGCACCAAGTTAACAAGAAAGGAAAAAGGGAGACAAAATTATGGGCTTTAAATCACAGAGAACAGGGGAAATCCTCTCTTATCTGTCCTTGGATGTAGATTTGGATGTAGCAGGTTTTGAGAGCATCCAAACCTCCTTCCTCACACCAATAAACACAAGCTTTCCAAGCTGTGGCAGCAGGTTGGGAAGGTCAGTGCTCTGTGCTCATCTGGTGGATTTGTCTGCCTGTTTTGCAGCTGAGCTCTGGTGGGAAGACCTTGGCTACACTGTGTGGGAAGGACAGCACAGACACCGAGGAGGCTCCGGGCAACAAGACGTACATCTCCACGGACAACCACCTCGTGGTGGTGTTCCGGTCCGATTACTCCAACGAGAAACCATTCACGGGCTTCGAGGCCTTTTATGCTGCTGAAGGTAAGAGATCTTGCAGGTGGGAGAGCCTCAGGTGTGGTGGGGTTGGTGCCTGGCTGTGTTCTGTGCTGCTCTGTGCCGCGGGTGTCGGGTGGGGGACGATGTCTCACACAGAGGCAGGTGCAGAGGGGCACAGCAAGCGAAGGCAAACAGCCCAACCTCTCAAAACTCAGAGTGGCTCAGAACGAGAGGACACTTTGTTGAAGGGGGTTGTTTGCCTGATTCTGTGTTTGCCCATTAGATATTGATGAGTGCAAGCAGCTGTTGGATGGTGAACCCCTCTGCAATCACCACTGTCACAACTACGTGGGGGGCTACTACTGCAGCTGCAGGGTTGGCTACACCCTGCATGGAAACAAGAGGACGTGCACAGGTGAGCTCTTGATAGGTTAGGAGACGCTTCCCTACCTACAACATCCACTTAAATCCAGTCCTGACTCTAATAGAAGGTGAAAGCTGTGGGGTTTTGCTGTTGTTTTCATATTCCCTGTTCACCTGGTGCAGCTGGAAGGAGGTTCAGAGGGGTTGGTCAGGGCTGGGAGCACAGGCCCTCCTTTGCAGATGAGCTGTGGGCCAATGGTTGCCATTAGGACAGGAATTTTGTGTGGCAGTAGAATGGTGCTCTGGCACTTGGTTTTGGTTACCCCTTTCCACCTCTGTTCACCTTTAGGTGGGTTGAATGGGAGAGGCAAGAAGCTTGCCTTACACTTCCCACCACAGACACTTCCAGTCTTCCTGGCTGCCAGTGCAGCCAGTCTTGCAAAACTGAGCACATCTTGTTCCCTGGGTACTGAGATACTGAGTAGTCTGGACCCAAATTAGTAGATGTGTTGGAAAAACTGACGATTGAGCTGTGAATTCTAATGGAAAAACAGTTAGTTTTCTTCCCTGGAAGGACAAAGGCCAAGAGGCAGCACAATCCACATGTCACTGACAGCAGCTCCCACGATCCACTCATTAAATGACAGGCTGGCCAGGCACAGATCTGCTGTTCAAAGGGTTCACAGTGTGAGATCTCTCACTGATTGCTGCCCAGCCCTGCTCCTCAGGTCAAACCAGGGAAAAAGATCAGCACCTCAGGATTCCCTGTGCAGTGAAACAGGGGCCTACTCGGGGTAAGAGGTCATCCTTTGGGGGTGCAGCTTTGCCACCTGGAGCTGAACCCTGCCTGTGCAGAACCAGCACACACACTGCTCATAAACACTGTCAGAGGTGGAAGATGGTTTTCTTGAGCTCCCCTGTGCTGAAACACAGAATTGGATCCAGCTTCCAACACTTAAGGTTGCCTTGGCATTTGTCTTCCCAACTCCAGCCTATTACAAACTGTCCAGCCATGGCTGCCTGGGTCTGATTCAAGCTCCAAGCTCCTCATGTCTCCAGTGTATTGGAACAGCCTGTCCTGAAGTGATGGCTCTGCAGACCTCCTTCCTGAGATGAGGGCAGAAGCTGCCCCTGTGACTTCTGGGCTGCTGCCTGGCCAGGCTGCCATTGACAGGCTCTTTTTCTCCTTTATTTTCCAGCCTCAGATAATTAAGCTTCTCCTGGCTTAGGCAGAGATGGAGACAGATGTACTGGGAAGAGCTGGTTTCCCTCCCTCCTGGCCTGCCTGTTGCAGTCTGCCCAAGGGCTGCAGGCTTCTCTTGCTCCATGACTTGTCTGTCCTGGTTCCTTGCCTTTCAGACCTGCCTCCTGCAGACAATAAAGAGGCTGTTCCTTGTTGAAAGCTGATGGCAGCCTCTGGGGCATTCATTTTCTCACATTTCCATGTGTCACTTGGAAAAAAAGAAGGTAGATAAGGCAGCAGCTGATAAGAGGGGAACCATTGTGAAAGGCCCCTGAGCATCACACCTTAACATGAAGACTCTTGAATTTCTTGTCCAGCTTTTGTTGCTTGACCTTCCACAGTTCTTAAACTGCAACAAAACCATGACCACACCTTTGTTCCCTAATCCTCCTTTTAGATACACTCCTGTCTGCACACAGATTTGTAGATCGAAACTTTCTGTTGGAAGCCCCTTCATTCTTTGGAAAGGTCTGAATTTGTCTTTATCCCCATGTTGTGACTCTGGCCATTTCCCCACTGGGAGCCTGACCTCATGGCTGAAGTGTGTTCTGGCAGGAAAAACTTGGGAGTTCCAGGAGTTTGGTAAAGCCACATGAATGTCACAGGGCAGCTGAAGTGTCTTTTCCTCACACAGTGCCCTCCCCACGTAGATGCAACACCAGGCAGGCTGTTCTTCAGCCCAATTGCTTGTGGTGCTGATTGATGGTGTCTCAGTCCCCTGCTCCACAGTGATACCCACTGGATGTCCAGTTAGGCTGTCCCCCCTTTGGGCAGCCACCCTAAAACATGTTGGAGAAATGCTGTGCCCTGTGCTTGTCAGGGACCAGAGCCCCCCAGCTCTGTGGGGGAAACAGGATGATTATTGCAGGAGTTTAACCAGTCAGAGCTCAGCAGCTCGGGGTGAACTGCTGAAGGTAAGACAAGGTTTTGTTTAAGAGCTTGAGGGATTAAGGAGCCTCAGCCAATCAGAATTGCCTTTAATTGTTATTTATGAGGCTTGGTGACTCCAGCTGTGGAACAAACAGGGAAGGAACCCTTTTCCAGGTGAGCATGGGAGGAAAGGTAAAGCGTCTTTTAGGTGGGACACTTGGCTCATTTCAGGCCACTGCACTTGCAGGCTTCAATGTTCCCTTGAGCAAGTCACTTGGTAGCAGCTTTGAACATCCATCAGCAAAATGAGAGGAAACAGCCCTGCCCTGACTTCCTGGGAACATGCTTAGTAAGTGTCTAGGAGGTGGATGCTGCAGAGGACAGATCTGGGGGCAGAGAGGCTGTGCAAGCACTACCAAGGCTTACTCGTGCCATGTTTAATCCTGTTCAGAGGCTGTTTCATGGTCACAGTGAATTGTGATCAAAGCAGCCTGAAATTTTGTCACGGCTCAGTGACACAATTTATGACCCACCTTTCGTTGGGGGCCTAATGAGCCAATGGCAATGGACCTGCAAGTTTTGAGGGGGTCATTTTTCAGAGTTCAAGCCTCTGGCAAACAGCTCACTGTGATCCCAATAAAAATATGGCCTCAGCATAATTGAGCACTCTCAGGACAGCCCTAAAGCTCGGACTGAGCAGTCAAGGGAGAGCATTTCTGCTGGCAGATGTTAAAAAATCATTTGATCCTTTTTATGCTGGGTGTTTATGACTTTCTTGCTCACAGAATTATGGAAAAAATTACTGCCCTGACAAAGGGAACTCCCAGTGGCCACATCCAGAAGGTATTAGAAGAAAAGTAAGGTCCAGTCTGAGCCTTTTCATCATCAAGCTGCAGATTCCCTTGGACGAGCAGAGTGCCTTCTGTTGGGTCAGCTAGCTCTGGCTGTTCATGTGAGCACAGGTCAAGAGAGTTTGTTGGTGATGATTCACATTTTTCCCAAACTGTATCATGAAAATCTCACGTCAACATTAGGAAACTGAGTTTAAAGGAGGAAGATGTAATGAAGTATTAAAAACACATTAGTCTCTGTCTTTCTCCTTTTTCAGCCCTTCAAAACAAGGCCAGTTTTCTGCGTTACTGGGTTTTTGTTTGTGCTGTAGCAGCGTGTGGGGAGCCCAGCTCTGTGCACAGGGGTGGTGCTGCTTTTGCTACGTGAGCACAGAGCAGCCTCTGCCCTGAGGAGCCTCTGAAGCAGCACCTGGGCAGCTCAGAGCAGTTCTGGAATGTGCCTCACCAGAAGGGACCTGGGCTGAGGATCCCTGCAGTCCAACCTGCTGCCTGTGGGACTGGCCAGCACCTCAGGCTTCAGCGGGTGCTGCAGCTCAGTAAGTGTTTTTCTGAGTACACTTCCTGCAGGAGCAGAATCCTGGCTGTGTCAGCCTTGTGGTTCTCACCCTTTAAATTCATCAGGTGTGCCTTTGCCCTCTGATTACTGAGAAGGTCACGAGCTTTCAGGAGCTGCAGTGGGTGGTTACACACACTGTTGTTCTGTCTCTGTGGCCTATCTGTGTTACCTCACAGTGGGCTTTTCTCCATCCTTTCTCTCTCTTACCTGTATTTATGCTGAGCTTTAGCCTAATAACACTTTCAGCAAAGGAGATAACGTGATCACCTTGGTAAATAGAAGCCAAGGTGTTGCTGCTTTCTAATTCTGAGGTTCTTGTAAGAAAGAATTTAACCTTATCAACCTGAGTAATCCCTCCTTTGCATGGGAGGTCCCGTGCCCACGGACAAATGGTTTTGTAGGTTGTATGAAAAGGATTCTGTTGCAGAACTGGCAAAGAATTTGAGATTCTGACTTCCTAATGATTTCAGCAAGGAGTTAGGGGCATAAAGATAGTCCTCATTATATTGTGGCTTGTATGCTTAGGGTAGGAATTCCCACTGTTTTCTCTCACACCCAAGGATTTCATGTTTTCATCCCTATCTTTTCCTATAATTGCCTCCAGACTAGTCCCGAAGGGGCTGTGGAGTTGGCACAGATATTGGCAGCGTGAGGAGATTTCAGTTTTAAGAGAAGTAGATTTTTTTTTTTTTGCACTTCCATGGGGGTGAGCTGCACCCTGCTAGATCTGCATATCAAATAGATCTCGGGGTGTTTCTCAGCCTGGGCTGACAGCAGGTAGAAGGAGGCATTAGAGTGGGACCTTAAAGCCTGGGAAAGGCAGTGAACTCTGTCTCTCTGGAATATTTGAAGCAGCTCAGGAGAGTGTGCTGGAAAATGTGCTTTATTCTTACACAGTCAAATGCTTCTGCAGTTTGAGACACAATCAGTGACATTACAGAAATGTGCATTTAGCTGGGAAGAATGAGACAGTAACAATTAAGGAAAAAAGCCACTTACTAATAATCCTCTACAAGTGTAGCATGAAAGGAAAAGCTTGAATTCCCTTGGCAGCCCAGCTGATCTCTGCTGGTGCAGAGCAGGGTGCTGTAGGGCTGGATTCAGGGACAGCCAGCACCTCCAGGTGAATTAGTCAAGCTGTCTCCACTTCTTTGGACCAAGAGAAGCATTTCAAACAGGATTTTTAAGTTAGGAGAGCACTCAGTTTTAATGGAATAGGCATTTCTAGGTGTTCATTAACTGTTTGTGTATCTGTCAGCTGTGTTTGAAAACCTGTGAGAATGAACTGGAACACCCAGAGGTGCTCACTGAGAGTCACTGGGGCCATGAAAAGGTTCGTGTCAAACAAAAGCAGCTGCTGGTGACTCTCTGGGAAGATGGACAGAGGGAGATTGTTCTGAAATCACAGCTAAAAGAAACACTTGGTGCCCAACAGCATCATGACTTGTGTTGAGGTATTTTAGTGAGCTGAGAGCCACACAAACAAACCAAAAGATGATCCTTTTACCTGTTCTTGCTTTTCTTTCCCTGTAAATGCTTGTAATACAAGTATTTCCTGTTGCAACAAGTGGGGCTGAGACAGAGGTATAGGCTGGAAAGGAGCTTCTCATTCTCTGAAGGAAAAGAAGCTTAGAACCTTGGCTAACGAAATCCATTATTAAGGGACAGTAATGTTCGTTTGCTCATTCACAACTTGGTGCCCTTCCATTAAAATGACAACCTTAAACTGTATTGTCTGTTTTTAGATGACAATCTGCAATTAATGCCTGGACAATGGCACTTTTGTTGGAGGAGGTTAGCATGGTGTGTTTGAGGATTCAATTCAAAGTCAAACCATTTCCCTCTTCCAATTATTTCAGTGTCAGAGCGGTGCAAAAAATCTGCCGGTGTTATCAGCCAGTCCAGCATTCCTCCTCAATTACAGGATTGCTCATACAGCTCTTGCAGCACATCATAAAGCCTTTGTTCCCAGCTGATCAAAGCACCACTTCACAGTGATCAGATGCTGTCAACAAGCAGAGATCCTCGGGGCACTTGTGGCTGTTCCTTCTTGCTTCTCTTCAGCAGGGAGCATTTGTGGCTCCAATTGTGCCGGCAAGAGGCACAGCTGGTTTTGCTCAGAGAATACAATTACATTCTAAACGTCTGGCAACAAAGGCATTAAAAAGAAAGGGCTGCATTCAGAGGCTTCTGGAATTGAGGAGCTGATAGCTATCTTACCACTCCACACACTCTGGAGCAGCAGACAAGCTGCAAATTTAACACCTTGGAATGTTTCTGAGGAGCTTCCAGTTATCACCCCTATTCCTGACCCACAGCCCTGCAAGCCTTTCAAGTGCTGCTGTCCCGGTGTCCTTCCCTGCCCCTCTCCTGAGACAGGTGTGCTGGATAGTGCTGGTGCCCTGATCCCACCTCAACAGATCTGTGGCTCCAGAACTGTCATGAAGGCCTCGACTAGTGCAGAAAATTATCCTCCTCCTTTACCCGGTGTGGCTGAACTAATACAATTACGATCATCTCCTGTTGTTTGTTTTTTCCCAGCCCACTGTCAGAGTCTCGTTTTTACCGAGAGAATTGGAGAAATCAGCGGCCCTGACTATCCAACAGCTGATCTCAGCTCCTGCAGCTACAGGATCCAGATAGAAGAGGCCTCCTGATCGTGCTGGAATTCGAGGAGACCTTTAATGTGGAGACACACCCAGGACTGCTGTGCCCCTGTGATGTCCTTAAGGTAAGGTGAGGTTTAATGTATTTCATCACAGCTTTTATGAGGCAGGCCCAGCTTTTTTACAGCCTCTTCTGCAGCCCATGTTTCACCATGTGTTCATTTCTTCTTCTTGCTTCAGTTTTGGCTTTTTTTTTTCCTCTCAACACCTCTTTTGGAAAATTCACCAAAGCCATCAAATTAGATTTCATCCCAACCCCTGTCCTGTTCCCAGAACCTCATACTGGAAAGGCCTGAATAGTGACCAGACACTGGTGCTTTGAAACAGTGGATTCGTGGGTTGTTTTCAGTAGTGTGCCTACCAACCAAGTGGCTGCCAGGGAATTTAATTCTGAAGTGAAGTAAAGTTCTGAGAGAAGCCCAGAATTCCACCTGATCTTACAGCTCAACTTGGCATACGACTTAATTTCAGAGAGCAATTTTCCCAGCTTGTGAAGAGTTACAAGGTATGTGTTGAGGCCACAGCCACCCTGGGCCGGTCCTGTCTGTGCAGGCCACTGTTCCCTCTGCTGGGAGTCAGTCGCAGTTTGAACTGCAGTTGTACATCTGTATCCACGAGTGTGGAAGTGCAGAGACAGGGCAGAGAACCGAAGAACCTTTAGCAGTAAGGAAGTGGCGCAGAGGGGAGCGCTGCGCTCCGTGCCCCGCTGCAGTCCGTGTGCCGCAGTCCTGAAGCACCACCCCATGGTCACAGCGCACCGGTGCAAGCCCGGCCTGTCCTGGTGACAACCGCGCTCTCTCGTGACATGAGATGTCACTACTCGACACGGGTGAACCCTGCCGGCCCTGCCGGACTCCGTTTCCCGGGGATTAAACGCGTAGGTGCCCTTTCTCATCAGCAATTTCCGTTGCTCACATACCGTAATTGGAGGTGTGTTCAGCACACTGGGTTTGTCACACTGTCCTTCGATACCCTCCCTGAGGAATCGTTCCTGTGCATGTCTGTGTGTACATCCACCCTTGCTGCTGCTCAGAGATTTTGCTTCTAATTACGTTGGAAGAAAAGGATGATTTTACAAAAGATTTCACCAGATCAGTGTAGCGAGAATTTTTAATGTTCTTCGTTTGTTACTCATCTCTCCAGGGAAGTTAAAACATGGTTATTCCTGCTGAAAGCTGCACTTCACACTTACTTCTTAGTAACTGAACTGAGCTTCACAGCAGGCACTTTTGGAAGGTACTTCAGTCTGGGTATGCCTATGGAATTTTAAAATCATTGGCAGGTGATGGTTTGGGGAGGCACAGGCTTAACTCAGCAGTTACTTTATAGCCTGTCTGATTTGACAGCTGCACTGTTTATGTAGAAACCCAGAATAACTGATGTGAGAGTTATGGTTTCCACATATGTAGTGGGAAAGCTGGGTGGGGGTGAAAATGCAGTGACAAAATCCAGGACCAGTGTGGAGCCCTGTTTTGCCCTGGGAAGCCAATGGAATTGGTAGGGCCTAACCATGCAATTAAATGTGGTCCTTGGCTTTGGGGTGTGCAGGGGGAATGTCCCTGCCTTACCTGGACACACCTGGAACTTTGCCTGTGGGAAGGATTTGCATTTTTAAGCTGTGTAAGCAATGCTGAAAGGTACCCAGGTAGCATTCAATCCCAACTGGGAGCTTCCTTACCTTCCCTAATCCATCAGTGGATTTAAAAGATTAGATCCTGGGAATAGCCTAAGGGGGAAAAGTGACACTCACCTTCTCAGGAGCCTGGAGGGACTGAAAAGCCACCTAAAATACACTGTCAGATGATGCCTGTAGAGTCACTTTGCTGTTGAGCAGTGCCCAGCTGTTCTGTTCACTGGTTCTCCTTTGTGCTGTCTCTGGGATGCAGGTCAAGGTGCACGTGGTGATGGACACTGGAGAAACTGCAGCTCGTGGCTCAGCAGCCTGCACAGACCTGCCTGCTGGGCTGGGCAGAGTCACCCACAGCTGTTCCACTGCTTTGGCAAAGGAGCAGGTACAGCCCTGGGGCTTTCTTGGGTTTCTTTTAGTACCTCAAAGCTGCTGAGGCAGAACCACTTCACTGCAGAATGGTCATTTTAACAATCAGCTACCACCTTTGTTACGCTGATTTTCAGACTGGCAAGTGCTACAGGTGCTGTTTACAGGGAGGAACACCAAGAACACTGAAAATGTCATGGTGGGACTGTAATAACTAATACTGACCTTAGATTTGTTAAACCATTTACTATTTTACATGCCTCGGTCTTTCCTGAGTCTCCCCAGCACAGCCAGTATTGCAGATTAATGCCCACAACTCAGTTCAGTTCTCCTTATAGAGAGTAAAAAGCTGAACCTTCCTTTAGTCCAGCTCTTTTGGAGAATGCAGTTTCATAATTAACTAAATTGTTGCTTTTAAAGTGCTTGGCATTGTTTCTGACAGGAAGATTGAACCGCACTCCAGCAGTGCTTGTGAGGGGAAAAGCCACTGTATTCCCTCACTGCACAGTACAGGGTTGGGAATTTTGTTTTTTAATGCCTGAACTGCTAAATTAATTACACTGCAAAATTAGTCAAGATCCAAGACTGAGTTTTGGGAGAAACATTTTACAATGTAATACCATAATTGTCACTCTTATCTTTTAGATTAGAATATCCATATATTCCAATTACCTTAATTTACATTCAGAACAAATGCATTTCCTTCTCCATGCCCAAATTCCTCAGCAGTGCTGTCTCTCTTGATTACAGAACTTTTCCAAGGGATGCACTCCTAATGGAAATTGTATTCTAAATCAAATATTCATTTGCAGGCAATTTTACCATTCCAAAACAATCTAGGAATTACATTTAGAATCATTAACTTAATTTAATCCCTATAAGCACAATAATTCAGTGTTCAGATCTCAAACTGTTAAACAGCTCTTGCTGCCTTTGTTGCTTTGCACTTTGTGGAGCTGGTACATGGAGCAAGGGGAGCCTGGAGAGTTTCCCTGGAAAGTGGTGTTAATTATAGGGAAAGGAGCTGTGTGTGACAACAGGGCTCCAACAGCTGCTCACGGTGTAGCTGATCAAAGAAACCCCTCAGCTTTGAGCAGTACGATGGAAATTTGGAGCAAACACTATGGGGAAGGGCAGACAAAAATAACTCCTGAAGGTATAAAAATTATCTGGTCCACTTGGACAATGGTGTTGGTTGGAGTGGAGAAGAAGTCCCAGTTAGTACCACTCTTACCCTGCTTGTTCACCAGGAGATCAATCTCAGGTGACAGCAGGTGAGGGGGAGGCAGAACAGCCCCAGCAGCTGCTGGAAACCCTTCAGCTGTACAAAGCTGGCACCCACCTGCAGCAGGCTCTGCCCTTTCCTTCATGACAGAGTACTTTGTTGTGTTTTCAGCAGTGCTGTGGATCCTGAGCACGGCTGCAGGCAGAGCCTGCAGAGCACCGAGGTCCCCCAGCACCCCTGCCCTGGCTGGTGCCCCTGCAGGACCTGCTGCACAGCCCTGCCTGCAGAGCTGCACAGATGGTGCTTTCACCTTCAGAGGCACAACCCCAGTCCCTGTTCAGCTGACAACAGATTCTCAGAACTAATGAAAAGCGATTTCAGAAAAAAAATGTTTACAAAATGTTTAAATAGTTTTAAAAAATTATATAGACCCCCTTACAATATAAACTTCCTCTTTCTTGTATCTCACCTTTCATTAATATTTCACTTTATAGAATAATTGAAAATGAAGTATCATTAAAGACAATCAAGACTCGAAACACTTCAATGTATTTTCAATAACAGTTTATTTACTCACTTATAAACACCAGAGTATGCAAAGCAGTTAAAAAATATTACTGAAACTTGAAATGGGGATTTTGTTTGAGGGTGAAGGAAGGCTAAAATTATTAGCAAAGACTACTCAATGCTGCCAACCAGCCACTTAAAACCTAAGCCTGAACAATTTAAACCTTAAATTTAAAGAATTAAAACCATGCTAATTACAAAAACTTACCACAAAGTTCCTTGCAGGGGGTCACAGTTAGTCTTTGGAGGTCCAAGAATACCATTTTTAAGTGTTACTCAGCAGAAGTAGCTGGTAATAGTGCAAGTGCTAAAATGCAAAATTCACAGATGGGACAGAGTTTGGAGATTATTCTGATTTAGGTGCAGGAAAAAAAAATGTAAGCAACTTTTTGCAGTGGAATATGAACAAAGGTGTGGGATTACTTCTCAGCCTGAGTGTTTAGAAACCCTCTTTAAACACTGAGGTACAGCTGATTTTTTTAACAGTGCAGCCATGCACTTTTGTCTGCTGTTCGGGTGCTCTGCCCTTCACAAGCCTCAGCAGGACACACAGTAACGAAGAACTCACTTGGAAAGTCACACAGGTTAAACCCTGTACAAATATCCCTATTCAGACTGTTCACAGCCCCAGCACAGCATTATGGTGATAGAACAATACGGACCAGGCAGCAGAGGGTTGCAAGCCCAAGTAGGTGAAACAATTCCTCAAGCTCCTACCACCAGTGGAACTTCCCTCCCACCACTTTCTACTCAAACATCCTGCCCTTCCTTAAGAAGCTGCCCCTTATGTGACACCTCTGCACCTGTCATAAACTTAAGTTTTTCAGACTCAGAATTTATCAGCCTGTTTATATTTACTGGTGCTTTATTCAGCTGGAAAGTCTTTCCTGTGACTAGTTTTTAGCAGGAGTTAATAGTGTTCTTCTGGGCTGGAAGTGTGGCAGGAGCCCGTTTCCCATGAGTGGGCTGGTCTAAAAGCAAGTTAAAAACATCCATGCCCAAAGGAGGTGCTGTGGACAGCGAGTGCCTGTCTCCCCCAACCCCCTCCTGCTGAGGAACTCCGACTCCTAACCGAACAAGTCCCATTCCTTGGCACAGATGGAAGCTGGAGGGAGCTGCTTACCAGTCTAGGTGCGGGCACCCCAAGGTGTGGGACCTGGATTTTAGATCTATGTCACTGCACAGTGCAAGGCTACAGTGGCTTAGAGGTGTGTCGGTGGCTCCTCTAGAACCTGCTTATCTGAAACAAACCGAGTGACTGCAAAAAGCTTTACAGAAGTTCATCTCAAAAGGGTAAAATTAATTAACTGCTATGAATTCTTTGCATTCAGGGCTGCAAAACAAAGACACATATTACTTAAATCAGTTTTATTTAAGAATTTCCTACAGTGACAAATCTTATAAAAAGCATCCAAACACGAAACTGCAGCAAACAGCATTCTTATGGATATCTTACAGACAGTGGAACTTCCACCCTGGAGAGGCACACTGAGCTCTAGTGATCTCTGCTACAAGAGCTACTGCAAAGCACACCACAAGCTCAATGTTTCTCATCACAAACCCCATCGTCTTCAAGTCACATTACCACACTTACAGATCATTAACAGAAAAAAAACACACACCATACAGCATTCACAGCAGTTGACATAAGGGAAAAGAAATACAAATATTCCATTTCACATAACACATTCAACTAATTGATTAACTAGGTAGAGAACCCACTTAAAGTCTTCCACATGTGGATGTCCTTTGAATGCAATAAACACTCGTACTTTATTTGCTATCATTGCTCTCCGCACACTCTCTCACCAAAGCCACAGGATTGAGAGACATCTCGCCAAGTCAAATAAAATCCCATTACTGCACCACCAGGTCTCTGCATGCGCTCGCTCCTTTATCTCGCACATACCAGCCCTCTCATGCCTCGGCACCACCACCAATCCCACACAAGGTTTCAAAAGTTCAAACAGCCTTCTGGTTCCATCTCACAGCCTTGCGTTCACAGCGTTGATACGACTCCATGAAATAAAGAGTAGCGGATAAAAATGGAACACCCACCGTCTAAGACGCAGCATGTGCGGTGTGATGAAGTATTCTTGGATGAGAAAGCATGTAGACAGAAGTATTCCTAAGGCAGAATATTTACAGCACTGCTTTCAATGAAGTGCTTCTTCCATACACATTTGAAATGAGATGAACTGCGGAGATTAAATGAAGCCTTCATATCGTACTTTAGTATGGAGGGGAGACAGTGTTAAACAAAAACACAAAACAAAAACGACACTGTGTTGTCCAACGGGGCACTTGGAGAGTCTTATGGTGGGATCAAATTAAAAACAAGAGGGAGAGAATGCTGTTTCTGACCAATGGTTCCATTTTGAACATGCAAAGAATTCAGGTAGCCAGGAAAACAAGGGATAAAGTATTACAGGAGAAACCTTTCCTATCAACTGTAGTGTTAGTTCACCTGTCGGGCAAACAGCAGTCCACTTCCAAACATTCAGAATTCCAACTAGATATGTAACAAAACTTAGAAAATTCCTTTTACCTTTCTTTTCTTTTTCTTTTTTTTTCTTTTTTTTTTTAAAAAAAGAAAAATGTCAAAAATACTGCTGAATATACTGCACACTGAACAAATTGATTTGGAAAACTTTAGTATATATGTAATTTACAGTATACTTACCATGAGTTAGAAAAATTTGATTTCCCACCATAGAGTCAGTATCAGAGCCCACTGCGTCTACATCCCCCAGCCTGAGGACTTGGAATCCATGCTGGAGCCAAAGCCTCCGTTAAACCCGCTGCTGGAGCCCGCGTTGGAGGCCGAGCCCCAGCCTATGGCTGCCCCCGAGTTGGACCCTCCATACGAGTTGTTGCCTGAGCTAAAGCCCTGGTTCTGCTCCCGCTGCATGTTGCCTTGGGGCTGGTTGTTCCCCGAGGGCCCCGACTGGTTCTGCTGGCTGGCCAACATGCCCATCATCCCCCAGCTGCTCTGCAGGGCCGCCTGCGCTGCCGCCATCATGGCAGGGTTGATGCTAAAGGCCCCGAAGTTCATCCCCCCACCCATGTTGCTGCCCTGGTTGTTCCCCAGTCCTCCCCCGCCTCCTCTGCTGTTGCCAAAGCCCCCCTGGTTCCCAAAGCCTCCCGGGTTACCACCAAATCTTCCACCTCTCTCTAACTGTCTATTGCTATTGTGCTTAGGTTCAGCATTGGATATATGTACGCTGATTCCTTTAATGATCAAGTCCTCTCCACAAAGAGACTGGGCAACCTATAAGAAATAAGGGATTGATTAAATGTATGTTAGACGTCTTTTTTTAGATGTTAGTAGTACAAGACAAAACATCCCCCATGATTCTGAGCAGATATTTAACCTGCAAAGGAAGCATAGGCATGTACTTAAACCAATCTGGTGGTTTATCTTTGCATTCACCACTACACTAGCTGCAGTATAAAAGCCTGTCTGGAAGTGCAACCTCAGTCCATTCAATAAATCAGATCAAGCTAACACCACTGGAATCCTCAAGACAGTGGACAAGGAAGTGTTTCCTGTGTAGTTCCAGAACTCGATACTTTATCAAGCTACTGAAATGCAGGCTAAATATGAAGTTAAAATATGACTTACCTGATCATCTGCAAACGTAACAAAAGCAAAAGCCCGGAAGGGCTTAGGAATGAAGACATCTACCACTTCCCCATACTGGGCAAAGAACTGTCGGAGTTCATCTGCCGTCATGTCCTCGGTGCAGCGCCCCACAAACACCTTCCTGCTGCGCAGAGGCTCGTCAGGACTCTGCTGCAGGGACGGGAAGGACAGAAACATCACAACCACCCTGCAGAACTGAGTTACAGTATGATAAAGGCCCCCCTCAATCCAGCCTGTTCTGAGGACTGAAGATCAAGAAAGTTTGAGATTGTAAAAGTACTTTAAAAAATCAATGGAATTCCACTCCAAGAACAAGCCTGCAGCCACGAGAAAATGAGGGTGGGAGCAACACACAAGGGACAGTGACAAGGCACTGCAGAAGGACACTTTTTTGGTAATAACTGCTTTAGAGATACTGGGAGCTACAGGTTCAGTTTTGAACTCAAAGGCTCATTCTGCTCTTCCCTAGATTAGTTATTCCAACTGGTTTATTCTACATTTATTCATGCAGCAGACAAGTTAGGCAGGTACTGCTGGACATTAAACACACTATTTCCAGATTTTCATCATTCCCTCACATAACCAGCTATTTTCCCAACTCACCCACCTCCTCCCTCTTTTCTTTCAGCACCCAATGAAAGCAGCAGTAAAACCCAAAGTACCTTAGAGTTGGGGAGTTTACAGTCACACCACCTTCCATCAATCATGTGCCGCTGTGACATCACCTTCACCTGGGTTTCGTAATCCGTGAACCGAACAAACCCAAACCCTTTGGAGTGGCCTGTTTTAATGTCCTTCTTAACCTAAGGGCAGAAAACAAAACCAGAAGTCACCACAAGGATGAAGTGCATTGTTACTGAAGGAATGTAGTGAAGCTCTCTTTGGAGGTCTTACAAATACTGTTATCACAGCAACATCCAATTCCTTAACATCTCCCCCAAAAATTAATAACAGGTTCATGGAACAAAATACACCCTTAGGAAGAGACACAGCTTCTGATCTTCCCCAAGTTGACACGGCTCTATTGTTTCTACTCGCTTTCTCAGGAGCCTGATTTCTACCCAATGTCCCTCCTTCTCTGAGCTGCAAAAGAATTTTACCTGCACCATCAGAACTTCTCCAAAGGTACTGAAATATTCCTTTAAGTCTTGTTCAGTGGTTTTCCAGGGAAGACCCAAGACTATTAAATCTGAAGTCTTCTGTACTGCTCGTTTCACTTTCACAGCTGATGATGCATCAGTTTCATCCATTTTTCTCTTATTATCTAAATATAAAAAAGTACATTACACATCATCCTCAAATCTGGAAACTGATCCATTGATTATGAACTGCACGGTATAAAATCATGAGCTCTGATGAGAAAGAGTACAGACTGCAAGAGACACAGGCCAGCTGTTTGGAGCTGATTGTAACATATCTGACTGCCCTGAACCAAAGCCAGTCCACACTGAAGTCCCTCTTCAAAATGCAATTTGACCCAGTTAGCTCTGCATTAGTTTACTTAAGTATCATCCAGCAACATTCACAGACCTATAACAAGGTGGAAAACACAGGAGGTTTTAATACAAATATTTCATTAGTGATTTATTTACTTTCCCTTTTTTCCCCAAGGGGGTGGGGCAGGGTGGTCTGACTTCTCCTTTCCTGAGCACTTTTAAATGGTACCTCTGACCAAACCAGGCTTGAGAAGTGCCTGTGAGTACAGAGGTCCCATTACACCACAGTCTCTGAAGGTCTAGATGAGGCTGTGGACCCTTCAAGGATAACACAAGACTTCGTCATTAAAGTGTTTGTTTGGGTAAAGTCTTAAAACTCAGTGGGGTCAAATCTACTCGGCAGGACAGACATGTACGTAAATCGCTGATCCCTGTGAATCAGAGGGTTCAGCAGTAACAGTGTTGCCACGTTAGCTCAGCAGTGACTCACGCAGAGAACACAACCCCGTACAAAGAAGCGACGGAACGAGCACAGACCTTTGGGATAGTTGACGACGTAGACGAGGTTCCCCCAGCCGGCCTCGGGGGCGTGCAGGATGCCCTCGACCAGCCGGACCCCCCGCATGCACTGCGACACCGGGTTCCTGTAGCGCAGCCCGCACGCCCCGGGGAACTGCGCCGTCACCGTGGACAGCAGCACCGTGCCGTCGTCCTCCGACGGGATCTCGATGGGCTCATCGTTCTCGTCCTCCGTCACCCGGATATACTCCGACATCTTCGCTGGACGCTACTGAACTGCAAAGGAGGAAAGCAGCGTGAGCGACTGCCCTGTGCCCGTCGGCTCGGCCTTCACGTCCCTCGCCCCGAGGCACCTCTGTGTTTATTACACAGCGGGGGACACGAAAACGCGCCGTTCACTGACACACACTGACACTGACACCTCCGGCCCTGCCGTACCGACACACGGACCGACACCTCGGCCTGTCCCAGAGCTACGGAGGGACCGAAGCGACAGGTCCCCGAGAATAGCGGGGAGGTGCCACCGGCTGCCGCCACGGGGGCCGCTCGCCACAGCCCCTCTGGGCCCCACCGCCTGCCAGGCCCGCCCAAGCCTGCCACCTCCGTGCGCGGCTCCGCCCGCCCCAGCCTCCCGGGCAGCTCGGCCCCGCCGGCCCCGCGCTCCGCTCACCGGCCAGGGAAGGGAACGGCGTCCCCGGAGCCGCTCAGTGCCCCCTCGGTACCCCCTCAGTGCCCGCTCCGCCCGCCGCGCTCCGCCGGCGCCGCACAAAATGGCGGCCGCGGCCCCTCAGCGGCCGGGCCGGGCCTGGGCCGAACCATTCTCGGCGGCCGGGGGGGAAGGTTGCGGCAGGGCGCTGCGGCCGCGGGGCCGTAAGAAGCCCCGGCCGTGCCCCAGCGCGTCCCGCTCGCTTCCATCCGGAGCGCAGCCGGTGCTCTCGGCACCCGCGGCGGAGGCCGAGGGAATGCTCCGAGCCCCGCTCCCCCCGGCGCGGGGCCGGTGGTGCGGCCCTGCCCGCGCCTGCGCGAGCGCGGGAGCTGCCGGGAGCCGTGAGGGGACGGCGGGGCGGGAGCGGCACCGAGCGGGGAGAGCCTTGGACAGAGAGGCCGTGCCTCGCTCCTGCTGCGCGGCCAGAGAGAACGAGAGCTCCTGACTGAGAAAAAACAACCCCTACTCGGTCACTT